ATTAGCCGGCGGATTTTGCTATGTAAAATTCCGTCCCAGGCTGACTTGGGCTCAATACGCGGCCGGGCCTATTAACCGTGGGCTTAATAACCGGCGACTACGGTACTAATATTGGAAGGAACCAGAAATAATAAGAATCAAGCAGCGATCCGGGCAAAGAAAATCTCGTAAAGAATTAAGGAGGAATTCCTAAACACGCACAGTTAGAAATAACCTCGCAGCTAGTACTCAGAGGAGAGCATTTAAATACGAAATTTGCCAAGTGTCAGTTAATATCGAATCACAGTAACGGTAGGATCAGTAATGGGAGTTTAAAAATACTAAAATAACTACTTTACGCGTTTCAGTAGGCGTAATTGTACATATTAAGTTTAGGTGGCGTCTTAGTAGTTGCAGACGGGCTGCTTCTACTTCAATCCGTCTTGGCAAGCTCCCCTACAACACCCTCACCTAATGGCGAAATGAAAGCATAAGAGAGAGTTCTAAAGTGTGATCAGAGAAGGCTAGGGAGAATTGTGCGCGATTAGGCCTCAATGGGTATGTTAATCACTGTAAAGGTAAGAGTACTGAAAGCAACAAAATGCACCGTAGTTTTGAGTTGAAAACCGTTTCAAACCAGTAAGGAGGAATATTGGCATGTCCGGTGTTTGTAATCGGACATAAAATCACTGAGAGAATACTTCAGTTGGCGTCATGCTGTTTATTTTGGAAACAAAATCACATGACACGAAATGTGATAACAGTCAGTTGGGCAGCCATTTGACGGGGCTTTAGTTCCACCTTATCCAACCTTATGAGACCAGAGCTAAACACAGTGGAGGAAGAGGATGTAGGGGTAAGCGCACGATCTGGGGACCTGACAGTAGACAGCCTGCCAATAGAATCGCAGGACAGCATGAGCAGTCAGTCACCATTTCTTTTTCTTGACTAGTGGATTAGTGTTGAACACCTTCGGGACAATAGGCTTGCAACTGGCTCGTGGTTTCATCAGATTATCGACTTCTCGCCACTGCTTCCGGTACTCGTCGTAGTCCGCGGTGTATTTATGTGCCAAAAGTTCCGCCATGGAGTTTGGCTGGTCATCCAGTTTTTTCTAGAGGCAGAAGAATAAATAATAAAGGAGAATGTTT